CATCTTGCTATCTTCAAACTTTCAAGTGAGTTCATACCCCTTTCAAACACACTTTAAATACATTTTTAAATGCTTTTATACTCTTTTAGGGGGGGGGGGATATAAGTAAACAAACAGTTATTATCGTGTATTTTATAAAGTTTCACTTCGCTTGTTTTACCGAATAAATCACTTGGAACTCATTACTATTATGGAAAACTCTTGTCATACTTTGTGTGCATTAGACTTATGCAAAGTATATAATGATTTCAAAGTACCTTTCATTGTTAAGTCGTTTTATACATTCTAAAAACTTATGATTTATGCTTTGTCAAACATTGTGAAAAAGGATAAACTTTGCATACAAAAACTATCACTTTAATATAGGCTTAGTTGAGAATCCATGAGACGTGTATATCTTCAAACGTTACTTTTCTTTATTAGAAAGTAATGCTGCAAGTCCTGTCTATAACCAGAGTCTCCCATTCGGAGAACGTGTCAAATGTGTATAGATCTATACGGGAAGTCATGATCCCGCGCCCTGACTGTTAGCTACAGTCCGTCTTTTGGGGTGATAGTTGTCATAACGTTGCGATGCTTGAAGAACGTTGTTACAGGCATATTATGTTTAGTATGGTTATAAAACTCATCGGATATACAATTATTATGGTATTATGCTTTTATGAACGAGTAACTATTAAAATTATTCTTCATCTAACAAATGCGATCTTCGTATAGCTTTATTATATAAAACTATGACACAACTTTTAAGAACGTCGGTTTCTTGCAACTTTCGGTCTTAGAGATTGCCAGTCATGTTTGGAAAATAAGGGTTTTTCCTGTATACAAACCAAACAACTAATAGGAAGATAAGGGATTTTCTTGGTGCAATTATTTAGAACTTATGACACGAACATTCATATGCATTTCATACTTTTATAAGAAAATAAGGGTTTTTCTTGGAAAACACAACAATTCATATCACAACCATTAGGGAAAATATGAGATTTTCTGGATCTAATACATTCATTTTCAACTCAACGAGTCATAACTCTTTACATTTGAATTACTGCGTTTTCTGGAAAACATACACCCATTTTGGAATGGCATTTAATTTTTCTAAACCACTTACGAACTCACCAACTTAATTGTTGACACTTTCTCTTTCAAATAACTTGTATTCTCAGGGAACCCTTAAGCTGGTTTGGAAGTCAACTTTTGGGATTAACGCGTTGGCGTTAGTTACTTCTTTTGAAAGATGTTTATGTATTTATCTTTTGAATATGTAATGAATACAATTATGTAAACATCTTGGAAACTTTAATATATATGGTGGTGTGTACTTTCCTTTCTATGAACT